TTTTTTTGCTGTCGCGTTACTTGCTTCTCTCCACAAGCTCAAAGAAAAGAAAGGATCGGCCCACGATGTCCGAATACGCTGTGCTGGTTGCTACAAGAAAATCAGACAACAACAATTAAGAGAAGGAAGTAATGCGACACCAAAGAAAATGGAAGCCTTCTACTCTGATTGTGACAAATTTTATTGTCTTGGTTGTTCCAACGAGAAACACCATTCTATGCAATGAATAATTCAAACAATAGCGGAGACAGCAGATGATATATTCCACGTAACCTTTTAGTTGAGGAAAAAGGAAAAGCAAGTGTTTTTCTAGTTATTTTCCTGTTAAAATATGGTGGGTCCCATCGGTGGAACCTATCATGTCGAATGTGTTCAGCCAATTTTTCCTGCTTACATAATTTTCAACGATTAAAAGTTCTCTGATTGGTTAACTAAGCTCTCATATTTCTTTGCAAATTTTGTTGTTGATCTACGTAAATCAATGGTCATCAAGTTCGATGCTATACATGAATTTGAAAATCTCTGAATCTCTTTAAATGCAGTACGGAAAATTATTCTTTCGAGCTATATATTATATATGAATGATTTATTGTCATAGTAGCGGAGATAAAAACTGCTTCTGAATAAACTAGCCTCACATATATTTTTCATGATACGAATGGCTTGATTATCCATGCCAAGAGACAATTGACTAATAAATCTACGAGATATAAAGTTTTCTCGATTTTCACAGTTCTTAAATACATTTGTGTTTCATATATCTTTTCCGATCCTGAAATACGGATCGAGGAGCAACCAAACGAGAGAACATGTAGTTACATAATTCATATTTCAGAGATATGCATATAAGAAACTACCATCCCGTTTGAAATTTTACCTCACCACAGTTGAGGTGATGCTAACTCTCCAAGTTTTATGAAAATTAGAAAGTTTCTTTTTTTAAGAAGAACTGTGAATATTTTTATAGAGGAACACAATTCTGTATTAAATCAATACAAAGTCAGGTTTCAAAACAATGTTTAGAGATATTCCTAATTAATAGGTTATTCAAATTCGGTTAATCATGTTGGCGTTAATGTTATGATTTTAAATTTGAACTGAGAACATATTTCAAAAAGTTATATCAAAACAAAAAACTAAAAGCCTAGAAGAAATGTGCACGAGGGCATTACTTACTTTATCGAATAATAAAGTTATCTGTTCTTGTGATCTAACATTGACAGCATGTATAGAATCGCTTCTCATTCTCCTTCAACCGAACTTATCTCGTCATTGAAAGACACATTTCATAAAAGAACAAATAAAAAGGTTATTAGTACAGTCCTTTTCGGAAGCGAAATGTGGAATTCACATGTCTCCTTTAATTTCATTATACTAATACGAAATATAAAAAGTGTAAAATCTCTAAAAAATGGTAGTTCTTATCCAACGATGATCGATTGCCAACCAATACTGCCATTTTTTACTTCTACATTTCGAACAGAAATATTTGTTTGTGGGGATCGCATTTTTCGTTTACAACGTTTCTATTCGCTTGATATTTTTTATTTTCGAATTTCGCTTTTCTTAATTTAAAAATATTATTATAAATGTTGAATTAAATAGTAAATAAGACTATTGTAAATAGAGTTGCCAGGTGAAAAAGTCGAACATCGGGAAATCGTTTTCTTCTGCATAAGTAGTACTTAATCCAACCTTCTACAAGCACATTATCAGTGTTACCAACACTTAAATTTCGAAAAGCAGAAAGCATATTTCATATACTAAATAATTTTTCAAGCTTTGATTAAATGAAATAATGAGAAATTTGACAAACATTTTCAAACTTTATTGTACGAAATCAAGAAAAAAATGATTTAAACGCAATAACAGATTTATTGAATACATTTTCTTTTGAAATCATATTTTTTAACTGATTTAATATCCTTTAATAAATCTTGATTGTATAACAAATATTTATGCATCTCAGTGCATGATAAAGTGGAATTCAAACATATTATTAATTCTGTTGAAATCAACTCTGTTGACATGCTATTTCTTTTGTCATTGAATAAATATTTCATTTATGAAAATACCGACGCAAAGTATGAATTACTAGATGGTAATGAATACAAAAAACATGAGTTTCTGAAAATTTGTCGCTGAAGTAATTGACAGAAGAAACATCCATAGTTGATCGGGTCTAACCATTTTGTTCGATGTTAAATCATCATCATCATCATCATCTTCATTTTCATTATGACAATCATTTGTTTTTAATATATCATTTTGTTTTTTTATGAACGCTTGAATCTGATCAAATAATGAAACAGATTGATTTAGAAGTGTTTTAAATGTGGATTTTAAATTTGGAAATTCATCAAATAGCGATCTTCATTTAGACCTTTTAACTTGATTAATTCACTACATTGAATTACTTGATGCCATGTTAAGGCCTCAATATTCTCTTGCCCGAAATAATTAATAGTTTGATAAAACGTAATGTTTTTATTAAAATAAGAATCAATATAATCAATAATTTCTGTTCAAAATTTAATAAAAGACGATTTTAACATATTTTGAGTGTCAATAGGTAAACGTGTTAATCGATATCGGCAAGCTGCACCAAAAAGTTCTGAATCGATTCCTTCTTGTAGTTTAGTTCTAACAGATGTGATTATGCTAAATCAATCAACAGCTGTTGTATAACTATGTTGTAATTCAAGATTTTTCTTGTGAAATTCAAATAGTATATTTTAAAAAAATATACATGTGCTTTCTTCGAGGTCGAAAAAGTCTTTTAACCCTTTCGCGGCGGGTGTCCCATAAAGGGTGGCCCAGAAGTCCTGACTCGATTTGAATATTAAATTTTTCTTTATCAAAACACGTGGTTGAAAATTTGGCTTTATAATGAAACGATGCTGTAAAACACGCTCTACAAAATGGCTTTTGATTGACCCTGCTAGCTCATATAGTAAGCAAATTATAGGCTTAGAGATGTGCTTCACAAAAAAGAAAAATTAATGGTGAACCCGATGTCGGTATTTTTGCTGGAACTCCTGTTCCACAGGTCGCCTAGAACAAATTCGTTTTTTTAATAGAAGCGGCATGAAATTCTTTACAAAATCATACCTAAACTTTTATTTCAGAACTTCAATCAAGAAAACTAAGGAAAGTATATGGCAGACGAAAAAAAAATGAAAACATGGTAAATTCGGTATTTTTTTCAACCGAAGCCTTTTCTCTTATTATTTCCGTGAAGACGCTTAGCAAAAGTGAGAAGTGAGTTTGTGTTTGGTAGATTCGAATGTACTATTTCTCCTGGTCTGTAAAAAGATGTTTTTAGAGCAGATGGTGTGCTCGAGAATGAAGTCTCAAAAGTGACAAACCCCCGTTCCCGACAATATACCCAAGCAAGAAACAGAAAACATGATGGAAGCTTGATTTTGTAGTTAGGTAGAGAAGAGCAATCATTTCTGATTAAAACAGAACAAACCCGATCGAAAATTTTTTTGTTTTGATGGTGTTACGGGACTTTTACGTAAAGCACGACCATACGAAGAAGGTTTACGGTTAATTTTTCTTTTTTGTGAAGCACATCTCTAAGCCTATAACTTGCTTACTATATGAGCTAGCAGGATCAATCAAAAACCATTTTGTAGAGCGTGTTTTACTGCATCTTTTCTTTATAGAGACAAATTTTCAACCACGTGTTTTGATAAAGAAAAATTTAATATTCAAATCGATTCAGGACTTCTGGGCCACCCTTTACATGGGACGGTGGCATTTTTCCTTTGACACAGGTACTAAATTTTACTCGAAGTGACAATTGATATTGGTAGCTAACGAGTTCTATCTATTATAACGAGATATAGACTGGAGACGATGGCGGAAGTTTTCCAGCAAACAAGCACTCTCAATACAAAACTGTCAGCACCCATTCACGGTTTGCCACACAAAGATCTCTAAAAAAGTAAGCTTTTTAGCTCTGTAGGGCTTATACTTTAGCATTCTGCCTTCTTTTTTTCCTTCTGTTAGTGTTATAGTGCGATACCATCATACAGTCACAATTCGTGATCCGAAGCAGCAAACGAAAACGAGCAATGAATGCAGGAAATGCAATATTGACTGATACATAATGCTCTGTGTCGAGACCTATCGTGTATTCAGACACTTCTAATAAACATTATATTATAAAGAGCGGAGCCCATTTGATACTGGGGCTTCCATCAATAGGAAAGACTGTTGCATCTTTCAGACGTGCACGCTTCTTGCAGGCCGTAGTAAGGATTATTTTTCCATTAAATACGAACAAGTTTTTCACTAAAAAAAACCCCGCCGCGAAAGGGTTAATGCTAATGGACAATTATCTTGTTCTTCAAGAAAGTACTTTTTTATAGATGCAAACACTTCCAGTAAACGTTCTATTGATAAGTACACACTTAACCACCTGATTTCTATATGCTTCAAGATAATCTATACTGAAAAATAAGAATGTATTGTCAATTATCCATCTATATGAACAAGAACAATAGTAAAGATATTTGTATCTTGAAATCTTGTTTCATAAAATTCATAGTACTGCTTTAAATCATCAATACATTTTGCAGAACGAGAAAAATGCGCATGTATCATAAGTAATATTTGTTCTATATCAATGGATAATGAATTATTAGCATATTTAACGGAATTGTGGAGTATATGACAATAACAATTTCCTATCAGTGTAAAAGATAAAAATAATGACGACACTATTTTTGAAAAAAAGAGATGTTTATATTTTTGATAAATAACTATGGGATCTGTGTCATATTTTAAATTTTTTCTTCAGAAAAGATTTAAAAACGTGCTCCGTTCCAGCTATACATAAATGCTAATTACCAATCCTTCTTAATGTTAAAAAAACAATATGACAAATAACAAATATCTTGATTTATTTAAATAATCATGTCTTTTACCTTTTATTATACAAAATAGTTCATCACTAAACAAAGTAAAACCACAATGTTTTTCACCAACGTTTACATTTGTATTTTTTTATCAGAACCTAATGCTGTTTCTTCAGTATCATCTATTAAGTCTACAAGACCTAAAACGATAAGAAGATGTGAATGAGTAACAAATGAAAGTAGCAAAGAGATATACCTTTTTTTACGCTAGTTATTGATAAAAACTGAACGCAAAACGGAAACACTTTTATATGTCTTTTGTTGCTTGCATCATACATTAGAGAATAATAAAATGATTGTTTTAAATCATCAAGCAAAATATTGGTAAAAAATGATGCTAGAACATTTAGAGCAATAAATCTTGATTTTGTTCGAGCACATGCTAAGTTGTTTGCTATTGATGAGGATGAAAATATTGCTTTAAAAACATCGGTAGTATACTGCTGTGCCAAGTATGAATGATCATGTTTAACGCCGTGATAAACCAAAACACTTTCAGCAGCAGCAACTTCATCTTTTTCTTTCGATATTATTATTGTTTTAGTTATTAATTGTTGATTAACATCATAAGACTTCATATGATGTTGGTGCTTTTTGGTCTTAATATGATTGTCAATTTCAGCTTCACCACGATAATACACCGAAAATTGTTGATTACAAACGGTACATGTTGCTTGAGACGAATCATGCTTATGTTCTTTTAAAAACGATTTATATTCGACCAAGTTCAACTATGCTTTATTAAAAACACTTTTCTTTAACTTCGTTTTATTTTGTTTATCTACGAAGGATGAAGTTTCTAATGCTTCAGGTGATGCTAATACAGCAGGGTCTTCGTTTTTCATTAACACTAATATCATCATCACCTTGATTCATTTTCTCTGCTTCCGTAAAAAATATTCATTGTATAGACTTACTCCAATAAACAAACAAATGATTTATATTATATAGTGACATTTACAAATTAAAAGACAAGTTGAATGTATAATAGCAGAAAGAGATAGATAAAGAACGGAGCAA